GATTCGCTCCACATCTCGGACATAATGTGGATATGGTTATATTTTAACGAGTGGTGCCCCTCCCCCGGAGGAGGGGGAGGACTTACTGTCTCCACGCATGTACTTCCACGAGCCCCATCACTACCGCTGGAAGGAAGAGTTATTCGTGGTCAGTAGGTATTTGGCAGATATGAACACGAATACATATAATTCGTCGACATTGTTTCTTTAAGGAGGTTGCTCAGCTAACGCAAAATGGTTAGAAATCGCTGAAATTTTTTGAGGTTATTGACGAAGAGATATTACGAATCTCTGCAAAATCTCAGGTGATTCGTCTACATGGTTTTCCAGAAATTAATTATTAAAGTTACGGTCTTATACACGGGCGATATAACGAAATCTGTACCATAATTCTGATAAAATTCTCGTAGTGTAACAAAAATAGGTGCAACAGATTCTTTACATTATTATGAATAATTTCTGCGCAGATTGAAATGTTTCGTCTACGTCGTTATCGAGATATTAATAAAACAAAACGGAAAATTTGAGCTGGCTTCCGTAAAACAATAAAGCACAGTACGACGCGTGATAACGTCGCTATAACCGTCAAATCGACGATACGTCCGCCCTCGATTGCGAATTTTCTGATTCAACAATTTTCTTTCGCTGCTTGCCACCTTCCACTTGTTTTAGCCGACGATCCCATTGTTTTCCGGATTGAATTTTTCCTTTCTATCGTTTCATTTTCGCCAAACACCAAAACTAAATTCGAGCACTAAATTGACAGCTGACCGGTAACAAAAGCATGCGGCGGAGTGCCGAAGCCGGCGACCGTGCGGCGTGCGGCGTGCACGCAGGGCTATCATCAACTAAAAATTACGTTGCGCGTGTGCCACATCTCAACTCTGTATATAATATTTTCGAGATACAAATAAACAAAGATCGATTCGTAACATATTTAAACAATTAATTATAACGATTCCACATACTTTTTATCCAAAACTAGAACAACACAAGCGCGCGCTTCGCGCGCGCCATTGTTCTTCTACATTATATTAGAACATTAAAATATTATATTGCGCACGCCAATTAACATTATTCTTTTCTTTTTAGTTTTCTATCATTTTTACTAAATTCCACTTTTAGTCACTATCACTATCATTTTCATTCATTCTATATCACGTTCATTTTAAATAAATCTCAAAATCTGGCTTATTCAAAATTATTATCTCTTATCCTGATAATTTTTATTTATTTAACTTTGTGTTTACTATACACTTTTATCTTCAACTATTCTTTTGCATTTGATCCCATCCTATCATTGTCTCACATTTTTTATAACATATCAAAAAGTCTAGCTTATTCAATATAATTCTTTCTTATCTAGATAGGTTTTATTTATTTGATTTTATTTTTAATTTAAAGGAAAAAATCAACTATGTATATATTTATTTATATACATAGTTTTTAACTTGTTTATTATCTCGCTGATTACCAAGATAAACTTTTAATGCCAAGTACGAACGCGTGAAAAGGCATCATAAAGTTGTCCATAATTAAAAACATCTTTGCGAAGAACTATTCCTACTTTGTCAAATGTTTGTCCCTGTGACTTATTAATTGTCATCGCAAAAGCTAATTTTATCGTCTCTTCCTCCTCCTTTCTCTATCTTCCCTTTCTTCTCCTTCTTCATACACATAACATAAACTGTCAAAATAACCCTCTTAAATACAAACTGTCGAAACTGCAAGTCGAAGTGAACGACTCGCAACGAGATCGACACATAAACTGTCAAAATAACCCTCTTAAATGCAAACTGTCAAAACCGCGAGTCGAAGAGAATCGACTCGCAACAAGATCGAAATCGAGTTTCGAGAGAGCCAATCGGCATCGCGGAAAAGCGACAACAATGAACTCGCAATGCCTTTTTTAGATAGGGATTTGTTTATCTTGCGCAACTAAAAATTTGATATTTCGAAGTTGGCAGCTGTTAGAGGTGCCCGTGTATATAAAGCATAGGCGTTTCCCCCTTACCGCCTGCCCCGCAAGGACACTGAGCAACCTCCTTTATAATAACATTTTAACAAACAACAAGCGACGGCTAAAACCTTCTCAGGGTCACTCAGGAGGATGCTCTTGACAACATATATAAAAGAATTGATTTGTTACAAATGTTTAAATTTATAATGATTTTTGTCACAGAAGGACCAATTGGGTATTTTCTACAGAAGAATCTATTTCAGTGGTTTTTAGAAGTTTTCAAGGCTATTATGAGGGACTGTAAATATTTGCCACAATTGGCCAGTCCGCCGATTCGAGTCAGTGTATTTTATAATTGTTCATTTTATAAGTAAATCTTCTCTTCTTCTCTCTCTCCCCATCTCTTATGTAACACGAACAGAAAAAATTCAATTTTCTATCCTTTTCAGTTTGAAGATCCTATATATGGTACTACTGATTTAAAATATATAGACTTCGTGATACCAACATACCTGCTATCGTAAGCAAAAGTCATGCCAACATAATAAATAAACTCAATTTACTAAACTACTTATAATTTTGTAATATATATTTGCAGATATGTCTTCTTTCTGGCCACTTCAGTCTCTGCCATCTTGATAATCACAGATCGACTGGAGGGTGTCTGGAATCGAAGCTTAGTCCAAGGTAGTAATTTTGCTTCCTCATAGAGGAAGCTTTGTTTTCGTGAAAAATTTTTTTCCAATTTTCTTTGGCAATATGTTTAAATGTTTTAAAACGTCTAAAAATCATATTTTTACAAAATGTCTGCATGTGTGTGTGCGCGCGCGCGCGCGCGCGTGCGTGTGTGTGTATGTGTGTATGTACGCATTTGAATGTCCGTGGTTGCTCTAACTTCCGTAAATTTTGAGATATCGGGCTTATTTTTTTTTTAATGTCGAGAATCACTAAAGGAAGGTTGGTATTGATTTTTGCGATGATCGGTAAATGGATTTCTTTTTGAACAAATCTTGAATTTTTTGAGAAATGTCTGTGGTTGCTCTAACTTTTGCAAATTTTGAGATATCGGGCTATTTCTAATTCTATTATTCTTTCCAGTCTTTTCTACCCCTATTTCATATACAGGGTGGTCTAAAAGTCCCGGAACGGTTGAATATCCAGAGAAATTGTGGGTGGATCGGAAAACGGAAAAATACGTATTTCCTA